GGGTTTAGGGTTTAGGGTTAAAGAAGAGTACTATTAAATAAGGGCCTCATTTATCTGTATTGTAAATGTTGTTCCACTGCTCCAAAGCCGTTTAAACCCAGCACCCCGTAAGCTTCTCAAACTAAATCTCGCAAAAGCCCACGCAGAACTCACGAACTTCATGACACAACCCTGAAATCCAAATCCAAATAGAACTGCTTAAACATAGACGAACAAACTCGAAAATAACAAGCACCATAACAACCCTGAAGTTACCAAACCCTCCTATCAAACCCCATAAAGACCCCAAACCCTCCGATCAAACCCCATAGAGATCCCATAGACCATGAAGCCCCATCAGACCCACGCGTGTCTTCTGCAAAGTGCTCAGCGGCAGCTTCCAAGTGGCAGCCGTTCTCCGAAACCGCGGCCAAAACTACCTCGCGGTCCTTGTGGGCGTTGGGTTTCCGCGGGCTTTAGGGTTCGTAGTTTAGGATCGATATCTATCCCCTAAATCAAACCCTATAAACCCTAGACCCCTAAACCCTAAACCCTCTCTTTTTTTTTTCTCTCTCTCTCTCTCTCTGTATGTATATATATATATATATCTATCTATCTATCTATCTATATCTCTATATCTACCGGTTTGGAGTTTACGGCTGTGGGCTTCAGAAGGATCCCAGTCGAGCATAACTTCGGCTCTAAGACACCCTCTAAACCCTAAACCCAACAAACTCTAAACTCTTGGGGGGCTCTTCTCTTAAGAGCTTCAAAACCCTACGGGACATGCATCAAATCACAGCCCTCAACAACCCTAAACCCTAAAGCCTTAACCTTAGGCTCTAACTCTACCCAGAGGCCCCATAGTAGTTCCGTTTTGGGGCTACCTTATAGGATTCTATATATGGAACCCAAAAAGGAACTACTTTAGGGCCTATGGGTACATCTCAGGCCTCTCGGAGGCGATCCGAAGCACGATAGAGTGCGTCGCCAGAATACGAAATGGCTGCGAGGATGATCTCTTTGTCATCCTCATAGCTGTTGTGTTACGGGTTTGGGGTTTCGGGCTAAGAAGTTGGGCTTGGGATTTAAGGCTTCGGGTGCGGGGTTGAAGGTTTGAAATTTGGGGTTTGGGATTTAGGGTTAGGTTGTGGGGTTTTAAAGTGATTTTCGATGATCTGAACCCTAAAAACCCACTTAGGGCTTGAGGTCTTTTTAAACGGATCCCGGAGTTAGGGCTTTTGTAGGGGTTGTAGGGCTCTATGTGTTGAGGCTTGCGACGGCTGAGGGTGTATTGAGTTTGCGTTTGGGGTTTTTCTCAAGAACCCTGACTAAACCCTTATAAACCCTAAAGCCCCAACCCCGCCTTCCCACACCCTGAAGACACTGCAAAAAAAAACAACAACTGAATCAGTCCGAAAAACCTCTAAACTCCCCTTCCGAACACCCATCATAAACTTCCCAACAGCTTAGCCGTCCTCGCCCAAAACTTTCACAACAATTCTGCAGATCTCTCTCCTGGAATTCTTGGGACACCAGGTCGAGTATGCCCGAGCCCAGCTTTACCTGGGTCACGCTTTGGGAAGAAAGGAAATAATGAACTGTTAACGAGCCCTTTATGAAAAGGATCCTTCTTATGGGCTGCGCATGCGAAGCATCCTTCGATCCGTTTTCTGGAACCCCCTTATAAAACTAAAGCCCCAACCGTGACAAGGATCCCTCCCAGTGGCCAAGTTACAGCCAGGAGCAGGAACTCCCTGTCGGCCTCTTTGGGGGGAGCGACTGGTCTTTGTCTGCAGGGTTCGGGATTTGGGTATGTTGTGTTAGCGCTTGGGGTTTGGCTTCTTGTGCCGGCCCCTTTTTCTTGGGCTGAACATTTAGCAGCATAAGCATTGCATGGCGTTGCGATGTCGAGCTGTCCGAGCTCTGGTAATGGCTGTAGCTGTAGGGGTAGGGAACAGGAAACTGCGTTGAGCCTGGAGTTTTGAGCAGAAGGTGTCATCCTCGGTTCGCTGCACACCTGAGAACCCCAAAACCGAAAGGCCATGTCAAGTTTAGGGTTACGGGTCTAATGGCAGAACCCTCTGGCAAAAACAGCAGGTAAAACGACTGCGCACAGCCCTTGCTTCCTGGAAAATGACCCTTTCAGCAGTAGGGCCCAAAGAAAGAAGGAGCAGTCAGGATGCCTAGACATGTTTTCACTAAACCCCCAATTACACCAGCACCCAAAATTAGGGGTGTGAGCAATTCATACTAGTATCCGCTGATAATCCGTGAAAGAACATGAAAGAAGTATAGCGTCTGTTACCCCAAACCCTCAGTCTAATTGCGTTAAGGCCCCTACACTAAAATTTGATGATTAGAACCCTGGAGAAGAATCCTTTCAGGCTGCCAGTCTTGCATTTCTGTGCCGATTCGGGGCTCTGCCTGTAATCGCTGGGAAGCCGATACGATGGCATCGCAGGTCTCCGACAGGGCCGCCAGAACGACCTCCAAGGGCTGATGTTGGTTTAGGCTCCTCGCGAGTTTACTGACGTAATGCAGAGGAGGGAGGGCCTTCCATCAAGTTGTCAAGAGCTACTACAGACCTCTATTGAAACACTCGCTTGGCCATGAACTGATGGTTCCATGCGAGTCACTTCAACTCTCAAGGCGGTCAACTTGAAACAATGCGATTTCAAGCAGAATCAGCTGCAAAGTGCTATGAAAATGCATGAAGCCGGTCGTCTTGAAACAATGTGATTTCGATCATTTGTTTTTTGTGCTGTGAAACTGCACCAGGCAGGACTCACAAAATTCGGAGCAAACGGGCTTTCCTGCAATCCTCAGTCTAGCTGCATGATTGTTGTGAGGTCCTTTCGCCACGTAGGTTTGGCTGTCTTGGACAGGTTGACCTCACCATCCAGGAGTGATGATTGCTTCACACAACTTACCCAGATGATCGGGCCTGCAATAATAGTGTCCTGGCAGGCACAGATAAGGGATCCCATTGCTCACTGGTCTGAGCTCCCTCACCTCTTTCGGTGGCAACCCCGATGCTCCGTATCCGGTGCAAGAACTTTGAAGTGAACTCCTATCAGTATAGACTGTTCGACCTTCACCTCCAGCTCCTGTACGCCCTAAGCCACGGCCCCAAACCCTAAACCCTAAACCCCAAACCGACAATCCTTGAAGAGGAGAGCCGTGAATTCCCTGCACATCGCGACCTCTGAACCTAGATTTGCAAGCCACCGCAAAACGAGCTGAAACGTGGGGTTGAGGGTTAAGGTTCGGTGTTTAGGGTTAGGGTTCCGGGTTTAAGGCATATAGAGTCCAGAGTTTAGGGTTCTGGGTTAGGGCTTCGAAAATTGAAACAATGCATCCTGCTTTCTACAGCATGGATTGACACAAGCGTTGATTTGTCCATGAAGCTCTTAGGTCACAGTAAATTGTAACAAAAAGCCGAGGCCCCGTTTACAGACAAAAAACACTACTTTTCATCGAACGCCGTTTGACGACAAATATAAATCAAATCCTTCACACAACGCCGAATACTCCAGCAAACGCCCCTTTGCAAGGTTGCTCTCTCTCCTTCTCCCTCTCTCTTTCCCTCTCTATGCATACAGTATCCAGGCAAGCACAATTGTGAGAGCCATCCCTTACGGAGGCCTTTTCGAATCTGACCATAAATTCTAAACCTAGTCCCTACCTAAACCTCTAAACACAAAACCCTGAGACCCAAAACCTTGGCCTCTGAACCCGCAAATCCCTAAACTCCTAGGCCAAAATCCTGAACGCCAAGACCCTTAACCGTAAACCCCCTAAGCCCCACACCCCAAAACCCCAAACTCTCAGCCTCTACACCCTAAATTCCTAAACCCTAAAATCCTTGAACACTACACGCCAAGACCCTAAACCCAACACCCCAAAACCCTAAACCCTAAACCCCTAAACCCCTAAACCCTAAACCCCAAAACCCTAAAACCCCTAAACCCGAAAACCCTAAACCCCAAAACCCTAAACTAAGCCATTAAGCCTTGACCCTAA